TAATGTAGTTTGAATACTAGAATCATATTAATTAGGTTCTCTTTAACAAATATTTAAACAATTTTTTAACTATATTGACATTATTAGTATCTGTACTCTTTAAAAATAATCTAAAATGTCAATATTTCATGGGTATATTGATAAATGAGGTCTAAATTATAAGAAAATGCATTTTCTACGAAAACTTGAAGAGATTGGTAAAAAGTGGCGTGATACAATTTGATAGACCATTAGATTGTGCATCGGATTCTCAGAAATATAAAAGATGTTCCATTTAAATTAAACAAGTTATTGCCGTTTAAAGCTAGAAATTATTTAAAATAAATTTTTAGACACTCTGTATGAGGTAGTATTATCTTTATTATTGCAACATAATAGCTGATCAATAAATAAACTTCAGTAAATATTTAGTATTAAAAACTTTGATAGCCTTGGAGAAATGAAGCCTTAAAAAATTTACTGCAATTTCACAAAATTGCAAATATTTCGAAAACTGTAAAATTTAAGTGTGACAAACCTTAATCAAATTTACCTTTATTTTAATCGTAGAAACTAAAAATGACCATTAAACCATTTAAAAAAAGACAACTTTGAAATTTGTATTTATTTGGGACACTCTGTATCTTGTAAAAATATTTTTAAATTGTACCTCTAATAGTCCTTCAACGAACCCAAAACTTACAATTTGCAGAAATCTAATTGTTTAGCTACAATACTCCGTGTCGTATGTGGTGAACAACCCTGTATATTTATTAGCAAAAGATACACTGTCAAAAGATCATGCTGTTGATGATAATAATCTACATAATATATAAAATGCTAATGTATATCTGTGTGTCATCTCTACTGAAGTAACGACTTGCTCTAGAAAGTTGCTTTTTTTACTAAAATATAGCTAATTGGCTCTTCTAAAAACTGTCGTCGCCGGATTTTTTGTTTTTCATTTAATTAAAAAAAATAAAAAGTATTTTTTTTCTTGATGTCGCATGTTGTGGCGGATGCGCCAGGCTTCAACTAGTAATCTATAATTCAATATCTATTACTAATAAGAACTGCAAGCTCACAGAAAACTTAAGTATTTTTTTATTTAAATCATTTTTATGACTTACGCCATTTGGTTTTAAATAATTTTCATTTTAGAAATGACTTAAAAACTAAGACTTCTTATTGGTCTTATTAAAATTGACCTGTGTAGCTCTATATTACTAGTTATATTAAAATTACTACTTTTTATACAAAAAAATCTTACAATTTGTAGACAAAGGTAAAGTAAACAAAAAAAGTAAGCAAACAAACAAACAAAACGGATTCAAATATAAATATGGAAGGAAGAGTTAATATTTTTAATTTTTTAAAAAAGTCCTGGCAATGAGTTCTGCTGTTTAGTCCAAGTGAATATCGAACAGCTCTCTTCTGAAGCTTGAAAATGCGGTCAAATTGAGTCGCACAACACGTACCCCAGAATGGAAGGGCATATCTGAGGTGCGACTCAAAAAGTGCATAATAAACAGTTCTTAAGAGTCTATTACGCTGTACTTTCGGGTCGCTCTCAGGGGTCGGGTAAAGCGGGTGTGTGGCCGAAGGAAATATATATTATATTTCAGAAATCTGCCAAAGGCTTAGCTCGATCCTGTCGTGTTATTTCACCAGTCAGCCTCTTATTTTAACACACCAAACCTAAAATTCCAAACACACGTGCTTTGATTAATTGGCTTGATTAAGGTTTGCAGAGCTTCAGCATTTACCATAAAATAGCGAGCAATTTGTTACAAAACCATATAAATTTTATATCACTGTAATCACAAAACTTCAATCTATTTCCGTATTGTAACGGAATTTTAAATTATGTCTTTATTTTGGAGAAAATTTAGTTCAAACATAAGGAATATTTGGTTGATGTTTGACCAACAAAATCTTAAAAATAAAGAAGTTGTCTAAAAATGTGCTACACTACGGATATATGTAGTATATAATCCTTTATCTTTAATTTCTTTCTTTATTTGTGTAATAATACCTAGCCAGTTTTACATAAAACCTTAAATGCCGAACGCTTATTTTGCTAATTTTTCGGACTAGTGAAATGGACTCTTAAAAACCTAGCCTTATAATAGTTAAGAAAGAAAAACGATTAATTTTTTTCGCAAAATTTAAGCTGTCTTGTTAAGACCACTGACGCCACTGAACTAAAAATAAAAAAATAGTATCCTTAATAAAATCTCTATCAATGACAAACAAACCTACATACAAGAAAATAAATGTAACGTACAACGTACCTATGTAAGTGTAATGCCAACCGACGGCGACGCGACGAAAGGAACTACCTCTATTTGAATATATTAAAAAATAAGCACAATAAAGTAGACATAAGATTTGTTTAGAAAAACATAATATTTTATAGAGAAAAACAATTAAAATCGTTCAGAGGTGTTGTACATTTTACCAAAAACAATCAACAGTCGTCAGGCGTTAAGAACCCTCTATTTTATGAAGATCGTTAGAGAAAAATCGCCAATAAAATGATTTTATTGCCTTCGATTTTCCTGAGCAAACATAACAGGCTATAAATAAAATATGTGTGAAGGTATTAATACTAAATTTACAATAAATACCTCATTAAATACTATATAAATACTTAGTTTAGGCTTTTCCATACCAAATATCATTTCTAAAACGTTCATATATCATTAACAATTATTATTGTTAATACAATAATTAAAAGTTTTTTTAATCATGAAAATTCAATTTTTTCAAATATTTGAAATGTCTTATATTTGTACAAAAAAAATCAATGTACATTATTTGCGTTGTATTAAATTCTATGTAAACCTGCATAATTTTTGAATAAATGTGCATTTATTTAAAAGAATATCCTAGGTTTAAAAAACAAACTAACAACTTGTGTTTAGAGAAAAGCCAACTGGAAGTTTGCGGATACTTGCCAATTACAAAAATAAACTTTTCAACGAAAGATTATCTTATGTATAACAATTCTTTTATTTTCCAAAACTAAAGTCTCTATTATGTATTTATTAGTGATAGGTTCATTAGTAATTATGAGTGTGTGTGTTAACTATATTTACCAAATACATATTTATTTCTAAATATAAATTACCTACATACTGTTGTGATTGTATTAGAACTAGGGTTTCTAGTTTTCGGTATCGTTATCCCGTTTTAAAATCCCGGGATTAGAACCGATAATCCCGGGATCCCGCGATTGACTATCAGAATGAGAAATTTAATCTATCTAAAGAAATACTTAAAATACAGGTACATACCGGGTGCATCTCAAAAGTGGCTCACCTCTATAACTTTTTTATTTCTTCAGATAAAACAACGAGATTTGGTATGTTGACATAAATTTGGATTGATTGACGTATTCAATTGTTTTCGGCCACTTCCGGTTTCACCGGAAATGACCACAACTTTAGATTTTTAAATGGCACTCTCGGTATTTTTTTACTTTATTCGATAGAAAATGACACTCTGAATAGAATGACATATCATATGTCAACTTTCAACATTTTCGCATATGGTTTATTTGAAATTCTAACCTGCGGTTCATAACGACAATTTGACTCCAAATACCAAGTGTGTGGTATCAAATTATTCGTAAAAAAATGCTTTTTCCAAATATGCTAATGAGCCACCCTCGTTCCATTTGAAAAAATTGAGATATTATTAAAAATACGATTTAGGCATCTTTTAACCGGCCAGGACAAGACACTAAAAGCATTAGATGATCAAATCTATCTTTTCCAAGGCTTCTTGTTTAAAAATTAGTGTTTTTAACACAGCCATGATGGCGCTCTAGATTGAAATTTAAAATACAATTTGCTTTTGAGCGAATATGTCAAAAGTTGACATATGATATGTCATTCGGTTCAGAATGTTATTTTCTATCGAATAAAGTAAAAAAATACCGAGGGTGCCATTTAAAAATCAACAGTTGTAGTCATTTCCGGTAAAACAGGAAGTGACCGAAAACAACTGAATACGTCAATCAATCCTAATTTATGTCATATACTAACATACCAAAACTCGTTTTTTTATCTGAAAAAATAAAAAAGTTATAGGGGTTAGCCACTTTTGAGACGCACCCGGTATATCAAAAAGAAAACAAGAAAAGAGCTTTGAAAAATAGATAAAATAAAAAATAAAGTAACATTCATATTTAGTGACTAAGAAAAATCAATTCTTGTTGAAAAAGAAATACAGCAAACACGGAAATTAACTTTTAAATGTTGACGTTCTCCTTAGTATAAACCTTGGTATAAATAAAATTTGATCTTTGAAAAACTAAAGTGGTATAACGTCGAATCATTTTAAGTTGGGCATTTAAATTTTTCGAGATTTTCAGGATCCCGGGATTTATTATCGGGATTTCGAGATTAAACATACACCAGGATCCCGGTTTGAGAATCCTAATTAGAACATCGAAAAAATACACCTACTATTTCAAGAAGGAGAGTTTTTGTCACAGTATGACATTATGTATCATATAAAGAAATGTTACATTATATTTTTGTAAGTAGGGATTTTCAAAAGTAACTGATATTAGAAACATTGTTGATTCAAACAATGAAGTATTGGAAATATTCTTAAGCAAGGGAAATATCTTATAAGGACACAGAAGATGAGTTTAAAGCTCTGGTAACATATTTTGACTTTTCATATTTTAATTGTAATGCTAATGTTATGCCTACTTATAATGTGGTAATGCCTATATTAAAAAATAGTTTTATTGTAAATTAAACTAAAACGTCTAAAATAAGAATTGATAACGGTAGTTTGTCAAAAACAATAAATCAGTTATAAGTAATTAACTTCTAAGATTTTTAATTTTCTAAGATTTTTAAAAAAGTATTTAATATGCATTAAGTTAATTAGGTTTTGTTTTTCATTTTCAACCTCAATATTTTTTTTATCTGTTTTTATTATTAGGTTTAGTAAATTTTAAAATTTCATGGCGTAAATAAAAAATCAAAGTAGGTACTTACAGCATAAAAAGAGACCTGTACATCTTGTTGATATCATTAGTGAAAAATCTCCTTCGACACAATACCACTACATTTAATCTGTCCTATAAATATCTATTGGGATTATTTATATACATACACCACATCAACACATAGAAACTTAATCACCAAATCCTAAATATTATCGTTTAATTATTTTATCAAAAAAAAATCAGTTACATTCTTACGAGGTTTTTTCTATAAAATATCTGAGTCACATTTAAAAAAATGGGAAATAAGAAAAAAATCTCGGACGACCACTGTTACGAAAAAAAATGTTTAAAAATACCGTTAGGAAGATCGCGCGCGTCTCTTTTCCAAGTCGGGCAACCAAAACGACGCTCTCGTTTCTGGCACAGCGACGCACAGACTGGCGTCTCTGGCGTCGTGTCTGTTTTTCCCCTACCTACTCCTCCTCCTATCCTAGTCCAGACCGGTCAGTTTTTCAGGATCGGGAATAAACGCATGTAATCCAGCCGCAACTCCTCGATTAAAGCTCATCCGTAAAATAAAACATTCCGAATTACTGAACAAACCCACGCATTGTTATCAGTTTTGTTCATGTTTTGTTATAATTTTTTTTAACTGTCAAAGTCATGCATAGCACACTTGGCTGTATTCCGTTTCTTACCTTGGTTATGGTTTACTTCTCCGGTTCTATACAAGGTGGTCCGAACTGTATTCCGGAAACTTCGGCAACATATTGTGCAGATAATAATAATAAGCAAAAAAGTTCTTATAAATGTATGTCCAAAAATGCATAGTTTTGGAGATACAGGGTGTAGAAGTTTCATTTTTATTTCGATTTTTTCCAAATAATTTCTGATGTAACGTCAATATTTAGATGAAAATTGGTGTCTGGGAGTTTTTTGATTTGATTTTGATTTTGGTGTCAATATGACTCCTACTAGTAGAGGGCGCCACCTACATATTTTTTAACTGGTTTGAAGAGTAATAACTTTTCGTCCGTACTTAAAAAGGTCTCTTGGTGAAAATCGCTGCGAGTAATGGTTTTCGAGATATTTGGAATCGAAATTATCAATACCTGTCATCATTGGCATAAATTAAATGTTGACTAAATAGTTATTGGTCTGAAATCATAAATTTGAAATGTTTTTGTGTCAAAAGGTCAACAGAAACTGGTTAAACATCATTTTTTGCAGAAAAAATTATGATTAATTTAAAAAAAATAAAAATTTCCCAAATTTATTATTTCAGTGAAATAACTATCTACTCGACGCGACGTGTTTATTTTTCGTCAATAATGACATGTATTGACTATTTCCATTCTAAATATCTTAAGAACGGTTGCTCGTAGCGATTTTTACAAAGATATATTTTTTACGTAAAAAGTCACAGAGATGAATATTTTTTTGCTCGGTAGTTTTATGCAGGTACGGACAAAAAGTTATTACGCTTCAAAACAGTAAAACACATGTAGGTGGCGCCCTCTACTAGTAGGAGTCATATTGACATCAAAACCAAATTTCTCATGCCGAAAAACTTCCAGGCACCAATTTTCATTCAAATATTGACGTTACTTCAGAAATTATTTAGAAAAAATCGAAATAAAAATGAAACTTCTACACCCTGTATCTCTGAAAGTAAGCATTTTAGGACATACATTTATACAAACTTTTTTACTTATTTTTATCTGCAGAAAATGCTACCGAAGTTTCCGGAATACAGTTGGGACCACCCTGTATATGTTTTGCCTGAAAGAATTGTTACTATTGCCGGAAGACGATTCCTTAAAAATTATCTGTCAATATTGTAACCAAATCAACCAGCGTAAAAAGACATCTGACGAGTGACTGAGTTTAACTAATGTCTTTATTCAAAGAGTTTAACAGCTCATTTACATTATTTTTTGACATTAAACTCCATTGAACAGATGTATCAAGCATGAAATAAAAGTTCTACCTGTAATGAAAATATTAAAATTTCAAAAACGCCCCCCCCCCCAAGATTTGATATTTATCCATATTGCATCACTGCTCCGTATTTTACTCAAGAACGGTAAACTAATTATTTTTCCAATTTTTATGAGGAACCGATCCTAGGACTAAACTTAATCATATGTGAAACTTTCTTGTCACAAGTAAAGATGAATGTTCAAGTAAGGTAGGGCAGACCGAGGGAAGTTGAAACAATTTTGACCTGTTGACCTGTTGCTTCATAGACAAAATACTAATATATTATATACTCTGTTTTTTTTTTCTCAGGTAAGATTTCGACAGACGATGACAGAAGGAAAGCAGATGACGTCTCATACCAATCTATTTATTTTACTAAAAAAAGTTTCTAATAATTTTTAAGTTAACTGTGGATGGGTTTAAATATAAATCCGTCATACGTCGTCTCTTGTTGTTTTTAGGGTGCAGCCACACTATCCTAAAAATGGCGTATCGGCGTAACGGCGTAATGACCTTGAATCGATTTCCAGTAATTCTATTGGCTGAAATTTTTGACAGATGAATTTGACAGATAAAATTTCTGACAGATGAATGTTTCAGCCAATAGAATTACTGGAAATCTATTCAAGGTCATTACGCCGTTACGCCGATACGCCGTTTTTAGGATAGTGTGGCTGCACCCTTAACCAGTTTTATTGGTTTATTTCAAAAGTGACAGATCGTATTTCAATTTTATTGGTTTGACGGAACGATGAACGACAAACGGACGCCGATGCGTATGAACTCGCCTTTAGATTTTTGACGCTTGTCAAAGTCTTGCTAAATTAGAGGTTATAATTTTGTGTCAACTTTTGTCAGTTTTGTCAAATACTCTGCGTTTTGGAAGATGATGCATTTTGATTCGTGTTATTACGTGTATTTTGTGTCTTTTGAAGTCGTTTGAAGTGGAGGCAAAATCGAGTGAAAATTAACTGTAGACCCAGAGCACAGTTTATGGTTAATACTCGCTGCCCAGGCAAAAAGTCTTATACACCAATAAAGTTACCATCATTAAAGTTCGTATACCATCTCGTCGTAGATAAGTGCATCTCGAATATGGTAGAAGGACCATACTAAAAAGTAAGTAACTTACTAATACTAAACACTAAACACATACTAAAAACTGGAGTAGCTGTAAAATATCGACATCACACGATACGTATATAATGGATTTTAGTACTGCACAAGAAAAATAAGGCCAAAGGTACTGGTTTAAAAAATTAAGATTAAAGTTAATTAATCAACCTTTAAGGTACCTATAAAATTTGTTAAGTGTTATTAATAATAAAATAGATTGTTTTATTTATGTTGTTTTATTTATTCCTGCGGAATATTACAAATTTGTATTTGTACATAAGTTATATTGATAAATATAATCATAAATGCGGGAAGTTTCATAAATCTTGAAAGTAAGAAATTGTTCTTTTTTATATTTTTTTGGTATGTGGTGTCTTGTTCTTGTTTGTTTTGTATTAACACATACCGTTTTTTATTTAATTAAATAACTCGATTACATTTTTTCAGTTTAATACAGTTTTTTTTCACAATATTTTGAAGTAATCACTTGTCAGTCAAATTTTAAATATAATAATTTCCTGCTTTTCCTTACTTATTTCATTGTAAAATAAAATAAACTACTTTGAAATTAAAATGACAGACACATCTATCACTGTCAAGGATCTTCTCGTTGGACAGACTATACATCGATCTGTTGAAATTAGTATCCATTGATATTACATTTCTTGCACTTGCAAATGAGTAACACAAAGATAGAGTTAATGTGAATTCTGGTAACAAAAAGTCGACTTAAACGTCACAAGTCATTTTGTTTCAACGCCCCTCTTACCCAATACCGAGGTAAGTTGAAACAGTTGTCGAGGTGGTTTGAAACAGACAATTTTTGGGTAAAAATAAGGATTATAACGTAGACACAACCCTATAATTCAAAGGTATTTATTGAAATATATTATTCTGATAAGCAATTGTGGCAAACATATGAATGTTCGCCTTCATTAGTTCAACTTTTGCATTCCAGACATTGGATCCATTTTTTCTTTGGTCTTACTATTCGAATAGGGTTCAAAACAACAAATAGACTAGTATTCCTCTTCTTCTTCATCTTCACTGTATTTTTCCTCTTTTCTTCCTATTTATCTTGGACTTTTTAGTTTTAGTTTCTAGTTTGGATATTTTAAGTTTTTTTGGAGCTTCGAAATTAAGGCTTTTAACTTTTTTCTTTGCCAATCTAGCTGACTTAATTGCAGCCAATTCATTTTTTACAGGACTATCAGATAATTCGCGGTTTTCACATCTCGTCGGTTCGTTTCATTCCCTCTTCTTGGTGGAGCCTTGGGCAATAAAGGTCGGAGAATTTCGGGCGAGAAAGGTATTGTCACCATAGTTACATTATCAAGTGATGTGGATGCTACAGGCATTATAGTAATATGTGGACCGAACGACCGATTCAGTCATTGAAGGCAGTATTTCCAGTATCAGATATTATCTTAGAGTTATTATCAGGGTTTTCGGCAATATTGGACACGTCCTCAATTTCAAAGCAGATTTCATTTGTTTTACTATAGTAGTCACAGTTTTTTTTACAGTAATAGTCACAGAATACCTTCTCCCCTGATGACGAAAAAAACTGTCTTTTCTGGATATCCAACTGATGGAGGGGTCCCAGTTTTATTAGATTCGTAAGTCTCCTTTTTTTAATATACCTGTATGGTTGAGGTTGTAACACAAAGCCGCATCACGAAGACTTTGCTGTCGCAATAATACTTCTGCTGCGCCCTAATATATTTCGAGGCTCGCCATACCTCTATCGGTCTTAAATAAACAAATAATCTACAACATACATATATGAAATTGAGTGATACAAAACGTAAACGAGGTGAACAGTCTGTTTCAAATCTACTTAATGAAAAAAATCCTCCCAATTTCTGTTCAACTAAAAATTAAGCAGTAAAACATATAAAAATGTTCTGTAAACTTGCTATGAAGTGAATCGTTAGCTAATAAGCTTTCAAAACGTATATCACACGCACTCGAATACAAAAGCATTATCCAGAAAATACGCTTAAAAAAATATCTAATACTTACTTTTTACGATTTTTGCGGCGTAGAACCTAAAACGACAAAACCGCGCATTTGGAGTCACGAACGAGTATTGTGAAGATCGCGCTGTAAGGAGCAGTTGATATGCGACGTTGTCAGCTCTCTAGCGGTTTTTAGTTCGGAGAAATCAGTGTTGTTTCAAATCACATTTGTTTCAAAACACCTCGGTCTCCCCTAAATACTTAAGACCAACTTAAGACATATTTATCATAGGTACTTATTTAAATGTATGTATTTCAAATTCGAAATTTCACGACGGGAAGAGCCTATACTTTATAAATTAAAG